TAGCAAGGTCGTTTCCGTAGAGTGGTGTTTCCTATATGCAGAATGCATAGTTGGCATCAAATTGTAAGCTTCTACGTAGTTATGCGTTTGTGTTGCGACAACCTTTTCGATCACTTTGCTAAGGAACGGAATATTAGCAACAGGTCTGTAGTTCTTAAGAATCTCCTTGTCGAGGTTATCCTTTTTCAGACGTGGGCGTACGTGTGATAACTTTAAGAGAAAAGGAAACTCCCTTGTTGTCAGTGACTGATTTACTATGTTAGTTATCAAAAATATTGCAATCACGAAAATTTATTACCGCTTTTAATTCCACTCGTTTGTGATCATGAACTAAAATAAATTTAATCTCTTAACAACAGAATTACTTTAACTTCTCGAGAGCCGGTATGGTATCACAAGACGGTGAATCTTTACTATACTTAGTTGGTAGGCATGTAGAAGATAACACCGCATGCCAATCGCGGACCTGCATTTCCAGTTTTTAAGCTCTCATTTCTAGCTGGCCCTGTACCTCGACCCAGATCATCGATTTTCTGATGAATCTGTTCACAGAAAGAACAAAAAAAAAAACATGTTTTTAGTTACGAACTGGAAATCGCTCACCTTAAAAACTTTCGCGCGTTCCACATGGCGCTTTTGAAACTACTTATCTTAGCTTGGTGAAGGATGATTGAAATATGAACCAAATACAGAGTACACGAGCTTTCTCGGTACAGGCTCTCCGAAGGTCGATGGCAAAGCATCCACCACTAGTAATGCGGAGGGGTATGGGTCCCACTCTCCCCAGGTATCAACATTTTTTTATACTGGGCACACCACACATGAATGCGGAGATCTTCGAAAATTGAAAAATTTGCGCTAAACCATTTTTTCTCGTCTGCTCGGGAAGATGAAACCTCAAAAACTGTTCGCTTTATTTACTAGATTAAACGCCGTTAGCGATTTCGTGCAACCCGCGCATCGCAGAACTCATCGAATATACAGGGAATATAAATAAAAGATAGCCAAGGTAGAATAAAAGTAACAGAAGTAGCCCCCAAAGCTGTGGCTCATTCTTTTTGCAATGAGCACCGCCTGGGCAAGCGCTGCACTTGAGCTGCAAAGCATTAAACCCGTTCCAGGCTGTTCCTAGAAACGAGTGAAGGAGGGGAGGTTACCCAACGTTTCCATAACAACCACGCTTGCCAGCTCCTTCACTCGTGTCCAAGGAATGGACACCAAGAACAGGCGGGAAAATATTCGAACCACGACGTGCCGTATAACTGAGTGAGCAGGTTACTCCAGCTTACCACAAAAGATCTTCCCAGGACAGAGTACTCCCCTACGAGAGACACTAGGTGGTCAACAATCTTCGTACTGATCATTCCCCTCTCATCTGAGTACACGTTTCCTAGGTCACCAACATGACTGAAAACGATAGAAGTCATTCAGTTTTTTATCTGTCCCATGCGCCCCCCCCCCCACCTCGCACGTTTTTATCGAGAAAAATTGAACATTCCTTATGGAAGTGCCGTATGCGATAGCGTCGGGAAAGACGTACGGCCTGACGAGATACAGGCTTAAGGAAGAGAGAAAGAACGAAAGACAGCTACATATATACAATAATATGCTCATTAACTGTGCCTAGGTCAAGCCGGACAGGTAAAATAATTGAATCTCAGTCATGAAATAAGAGCGGGCCATGACCTGGAGGCAAATATTTTCTCGTGCGGCCCTCCCACTCAGTCTATAAGTGCATAATACTACGTCTAATTTTACAGCTACAGAGCAGAAACTCAAATCTGCTCATTTCACTTTCAACTCTTACAGTCCAATGGAAGTGACTTAACGTGACATTGCATGGCCGTAGGGTTACCGTTTCTTGTCCAGCGGTCCTCCGTGGGTCATATTGAACGGATTGTAATGACTACCAGTACTCTGGCACCCTGAAAAATATTCATCGATATTTCTCATTTTCAATCTATTTCGATATATACATCGATATTTCTCATTTTCAAGCTCTGTCGTGCACCCTCGTCCAATCTCGATCCCAGAGTCCTAATTCCTTTGACAAGTGCCTGCTCCCTAAGAAAAGGGTTATAGAGACTCTCGGAACGATATTGCGCCTTACATTACACAGTGGTTAAACGTCACGCACGCGCACATGGAATAATTTGCCGAGTGCTGACAGGTGCATGGAAATCTACGAGTTGAAAGTTGAAGTTGAAGGCGTAGCTTAACTCATTGATTGTCCAATTAATGCTTTCAACGTTCGCACAAGCGCAGAAAATAAAGACTCTACATGCAGCTCCTAAGCACAAATGGGGCTGCATCGAAGCTGACATATGCTGATACGAAAGCTGTGTACATTGTGTTGCATACCACCATCTTACTGAAGTAACGCTATCTGATACATAATGCTGCCTTTAGGCAGCTACACACTTCCATAAGATAATTTTTAGTTACATCAACATACCAATCTAGAGCTAATAAATGTTTCTTATCTCATCATTTGTTTGCTGGATCGATGTATCGATAGCGTTAGGAAAAGCTAAAAATTGATCACTTTTAGAAATAAAACAGTTACAAGCTTACCCTGTGAAAAAGTATCTCCAAACTCGTGAATATGGAAGCCGTGAGGTGTGTTTGGAGGAAGATTTAGTAAGTTAACAGTCATGGTAGTTTCGCCACCAGATTTCTGTAATAAATTGATAAATAAACATTTATATATGTAAATAAATGAATAACTAGATTAATAACACGTATGAGAGGTTATCAAGGGCATTAACCGTTAGTCGTAAAACCGCCGGAAAATTTAGCCGTTAGGCGTAAAAATTGACAAATTTTACGAAAATTGTCTTTCTTCCCACATGTACTTACTCGAGCTTGTGGAATGAAGCGCAGGAAATATTCAGAAACAAGACATCCCCGCACGTTCGCCAGCGGTTAGAGCAAAGTACGTGAACAGTAAGAACGTTGCATTAGAAATTCTCCGTATGTTTGTTTTGAATTTCTACGAACCATTACTCGATACATCGATGAAATCAAATGTTCGCCACTAGTTCACCTTACCGGCTGCATCATCCTGACTATTCCCGCGACTTTAGTCACAACGCCGGAAGGGGGCTGGGTATTCGGGATGATAAAGCTCATGGCTTTTACAACAAGTTCACCTGAAAAGTAGAAAAATTGGAAACGATTTTTTAAAAATGTTTTCTCCTTCCTTTCATCTTTTATCTATGCCGCAAAAGTGACAGATCACGCAAGTAACTCTGGTTTAAACTATGAAACAAATTAACTGATAGTACCTTCAGGGGTTTCCCTCGAAACGGCTCCACGAGAGGCAGCTGTCGCCAGCATCACCAATCCACAGGTTAAGAGAAGCATCATGTATTTGATTGGATCTACAAAGATTTTGGAAATAATGAATGACGGCCTCTTTTAAATGCCCATTTCACTGCGTTGTCTCAACGTGCGATAAGGCTCTCATTTAAAAAACGGCACTACACTCCTTTTTATCATAAGAATCTTTTCTATAAAAATGTTCAGGCTGGGATTAACACAAAATTGTAAGAAAATTTTAGGAATAGGCTATCAGCATACCCAGGCTGAGAGTCAGTTTCGTTTGTCTTTAATTTGCTTTTTTTCTGGCGAGAACAGCATAAATAAAAGTAAAAGAAATATAAAACTCAAATACTGAGTGAAATTTTTTACCGTTAAAAACGTGGTTTCCTCATAGTTCGATAAACTGAACTATAACCTTGTAACTCCCCAGATCTCATTAGTAATTCTCCTTACTGTCTGACATACAGTTCTTATGATGTCAATTTGGAGAATTTGGTATTGGATCAACTAATAATCCCCTAACTGATATTTTTCTTTATTCTCATCACTTCTGTGCTTGATATTATATTGATATTGTAAAGAGAAATTCTCTTTCGGTCACTCATGGGAGGTAGAGAACATTTTCAGGCTCAGATCGCGAAAAAAATAATTTTAAAAAAAGTTCAGTCTCGGCCCCAAAAGTAGACGTTCTCGTAAAAAAAAAAGAGTGTAATGAGTCTAAAAAATGCCATGCCCTTCTCTATTCCTGCTTTGTTTTGAGTTACGTTATTTTCTTTACTTCTTCGTTCGGTTTTTAAAGAACTTCTACAAAAACTTGTAATTTCTAGAACCCTTGGCAAAACAATAGCTCAGCACGTGCGGTTTAAAACTGTGTACATTTCTCAGCCGTCCTCTGCAAAACAACAACGTGAAATCACCAAAATTTCCTCGATCAGGGAAATGGAACCCCGATGGAAAATTATTCAAGTTTCCATTTGAGACTCGACGCGGCTCCCATACATTATGCTTAAGTTAAGATGTAGCACCGTAAGAGACGGCTAACACATCCAGCCATTAGCGAAATTAAATCGACCCCTTCCTTAGCGTTGTTGACTGCTTAAAGTCCCTATCAGTAAGAACAACAGCAGCAAACAAGCGTGCTCTTCTTTGTCAAGCTGTTTCCCTTCAGCTTATTGTTTTTCGTTTTTGAGGATCCTTTGTTCTGCCTCATTCGTAAATTTTTAAAATTAGCTTCAGTACCGGAAGAGTCCACGACGACATCGACTGATGGAAGATTCTGAGCG